CCCCAAAACCCCAAAACCCCAAAACCCCAAAACCCCAACGAACAAATTTAGGGTTGAAATAACAGCCGTGGTACCTAATAATTTCGTCATTATTGGTTGTTCAAGTATATCCTCGCAGGCCGAAACGATGAATTGCAACCGGATCTTAGGAATTCAGAGAGATCATTTGAGTTATCTACAATTCATTAGGTATACACATACTGGAAAGCCCGAGATGAGACACTCTATTCGTCAAGAAGTTCCTATTTCGATTCTTACTAATAGAGCGTATAAAGGAGCTTTGAAAATTTCTTGAACTGGGTTTTCTCAGATCTTGCTCACCACTAGTAAGATCTAGCTCGCTTTCTCTTAACCGATCGTGTCTTTGTAGATATTTCTTGGAATATTTAACAATAGACGATTTAGAAAGCATCCTGATCATCTGAAAATCCTTCTTATAATGAGAGTCAGCCGAATATTGCACTGAAGAATAATGAGCTAAAAGTTATAAAAATTATACAAATATGCTTATTCCCCCTATGATTTCCATTATTCTCTCGATTATTCTGCCCTCTCAGATTCTTGCTCTCATCTCGGTCCCGATTTTGGCTCTTAAGTATAGGATTTTCATAGATTCTCACAGACCTATTCACATGATCTTGAACTGAGAAGGTAGATTTTGCATTCCTCCGGCCTCTAACTGGCAGCTTTTTAAGCTCCTTAAGCTTCTCCCTAAAAGTAAGTAAACTTGGCCCAAACTTCTTATTCTTCAGGACTAATTTATTCTTGTTATTGGTAAAACTTAGGTGATCCTTAGCTCATCTAGGTGGGTTGACCAGATTTTCAGGCACTTTATACACCTTCTTTACTGGAGCAATTAAGAGTTCATTCCATTTCAGTGACTGTAGATTTTTGAAGCTTCTGGGTACCTGGATCTCATCGGCTCTCTAAGTGAACTACACAGTTATAACCAAAAGGTTACTCTTGAAAGCTCTTGTCAGAAGGAGCAAGCAGATTGCCTTTCTTGATAACTGACAGGACAGATTGCCTCCTGTTTACTTTACCCTTAGTAAACTTGAATTCCTTGTTCTTAGAATGCCTTCTGGTGTGCACTATAGACTTTCGCCTCGGCACTTCAAATAGGGGCTGGGGATTCAGAAAGTTCTCATTCCTAAAATTAGGCATTGATCGTTACTGGAGTAGGCTAATATTGAGCCAAGGAACTGAGGTCTCACTTTCTTGGTATGCACTCTTAGTTTCTTCGGTAATCATTTTGATTTTCTAAAATTTGTCAGAAATCTTACATTTTCTTGGTCTTTCCAAGATTTCTCAAGCTTTTGGATTAATTGACTCTCCTGTTCGGAGTTAATCAGAATTTTCTAAGGATTCAAGGTAGAAACTTACGTTCTTTGTAGTATAGCGGGGCCTCTGTTGCCTCTTTTTCTTTGGCTTGGTAATTATTTTATCAGATGCCTTCTCAATGGTCTTCTCAGTAGTGTTTCTTTCTGTGGTATTCCTGTCAAAGCTTTTCTTTCCACTAGTTTTTCTCTCAGCAAACCTGCTTAATGGCTTAGTTAGGGTATTTTTTGTTCTAGATTTTGAACTAAAGATATACTTAAAACTGCCGTTTCTGCTAGGCTTCATTACAGAGCTTCTTCTTGGACAAAATCTGCTGCGACCTTTACAAGATGGAGATAATGACATCTAAAATAAATTAACACCACAAACATTTTTGATCAAATCCTTATTTCTCATAAGAAACCTCGCACTAGTGCCTTTCCGGATCATAGACCTGCTCTTCTTCGGCTCTAAAACTCATCACTCAAGTTTCAAATGCCTCAAAATCCCCTAAAAATCCCAAATCCACACTTGACTCTCTACCTGGATCTACTCTCGCCACCTCCTTCTCCTCCCTACCCCTTTCCCTCACTGGCGTCTCTTGCTTCTCTTTACACCCAAAAATTTCCTTATAAATCGCTATATTCTCAGTCAGCCGCTGTAATTTCCAGTAAAAATCAGTCTTAAATCCTCGTTTTAGTCGAATCTTTATAGCATTCTGTACGTTCTTATCCTTATTTGTCGAACTCAACCTTGAACTTGGAGTAGTCGATCTTGTGGGATTCTAGGAATTTATTTGAACGTGTAGCTATAAAATGGGTTTTCACAGCTGGAATTTTGGTGGTGAAGAATTTTAAAAGAACAATTTAGCTGGAAAGAGCAGTTTTGAAGTACTTTTTGGGGTTATTTGGGTTGAAAAGAGACATCGAAGCGACTTTTAGAGGGCTAGTTGTGGTCCTAGAGGGGTTATAGGAGGGTACTTTCGGAGCTTTAGAGAGGAATTTGGGATATCTGGGGTCTATAGGTGAGGAAAAGGAATACTTCTCTATTTTCAAGTGGTGGAGATTTGAGAACTCTTTGGTACTCTGGACTCCTATAGGTCAAGGTAACCAACATTTTGAGAGTTTAAGGGGATTAGGAATGGAGTTTGAGGGGCTAACATACTCTTTCCTCATAGTACCATGCTTAAATAGATACATTTTTTGTCTTATCTCTTCAGACGAGACTATGTTTTCGATGTTCATTTCTTTGAAAATATATTTATTTAAAGTTATCAATAAAATTGAAAATTAGGGGTTTTGGGGTTTTGGGGTTTTGGGG